AAAAAATCTGAAGTATAGAATGAAGATCCTTACCCATGATGTAGTTCCATCCAAACTTTTCATCATACACATAAGACACTTGCCCCAAGTGTTGAAGCTATTAGGAATGAAGCTGGATCTGCCATTTCAAAGCTTTCCATTATACAACATACTGTTATGTAAATACACAAATATATGTTTATGCCTTATGCTTTAAATGTGTTCTCCAGTATTTAAAGGAAATCCTCCATTCTTCTCTCTCCTGCCAACATATCCAACCTTTTTTAATATGGAAAGAAAGATACGATAGACACACACAGAGAATGCTACATCTAAACCATGTTGTCTATCTGCAGGAATGAATTGTTGAAATCCATTATGGACCTCATAGGACAAAGAATATTTAAGTTTTGCCAAATTCCCCAAAAGCAAAAAACCACTTACTGTATATGAACGGTATAACCAAAAAGATGCTAACATTTGAGTAACAGTTTACACCTGCCTTCTTTGTATGTTTCTGTATTCTTTCCAAGATCTTAATTTCTTGGAAAAATCCCCACATTTCCAACACTTACAAAGCCTTCCACATTTTTAGTTGGGGCTGCCAAACAGGCTATTTTGTGAAAGCACAATATGCATTTTCCAGAAGCCCAATTCAAAGCCGCATGTATCCAAAATACATTAAGAATAAGTATTTGTGTATTAACCATAGGTTCTGAGACACATTACTTTTCATTTCTTCCATTTACTGTCTCAAGTGGGAGGAACAATTTAACAAGAAAACAGCTGTGAAAACAATGAACAAATCTGAAGCCAAGGGACTTTTACAGTTGAGTAGTGAAATATACTGTGAAACCAACAATTATATCAAGAAATGAAGCCTCATATATGACAGGTATACTCTAAGTTGACTATTTTCTGCAATGAAAAATACAAAAAGCTAACCATACAATGGAAAATGCTATATAATTAACACAATGGACATACACTTTCCTTCCCACCCCACTATTCTGGAAACAAACTAATAGAAGCTAATGGGAATGTAAAGATTTATATTCTCTTGAAATTCCCACTTAGATCCTTCCTCTTTTTCCTTCATATAAACATGATTGCAAATCAAACACAACAACAACAAAAAAACAAGTATATTAATTTTCTACTGCTGGATAATGAATTGTGCCTAATTTAGCTTAAAACAAGAGAAGCTTATTAACTCACAGTTCTATAGAAGTCCTGGCACACCATGGGAGCCATCTCTGCTGAGTCTCACTAGGCAAAAATCAAGATGCTCGGGGTCTTGCCTGCATTCTTACTTGGGGTCTGAGGAAAAACCTGCTTGCAAATTCACTCAGGTTGTTTGCTAAACTGGGTTCCTTGTGCTTGTACAACAGAGGTCCCTGTTTCCTTGCTGGGCTCCCCAGTCCTCGGCTTTGTAATCAGCAATAGAGAATCTCCCTCCACTGGAAGACCTCTCACATGCTGAATCGCTTTTGCCAGGAACAGTCCAACCCCTTTTACAAGTTCACCTCATTCAATCAAGAACACAAAGGCAGTCTCCCTACCTTAAGGTGAACTGATTTGAAACCTTAATTACTCGAGCAAGCTCTTTGCAGCTGAACAGAGATTAATTAGTATTCACCTGTCAGGGAGAAGGTGTGTGCACAACCAGAGTGGGAGCCTTGGGGTTCAGTTCAAAATTCTGTTTCCTACAACATGCAAATCAGGACAATAATAATCTCTTCAGTAGGAATTAACAGGTTATTTTACTTGAACATCATTTGGGACTTTAATGTCTTCTAAAAGTCAATTTTTGTTAAGATGTCTGCTATTTAGGCTTAAAAGATAAAGAAAAGCAATAGGAATTCTAAAAGCCAATTGCCATTATTTTATAAATCCATTCCCATCATATCAAAGTAATTGATATATCTCATTGTGGTATCTTATGGTGATTTTTCAGTTACTTTTAATCAGGAGTTGTTTAGTTGCTGAGTCGTGCCTGACTCTGTGACCCATGGACCGAGGCTCCTCTGTCCATGGGATTTCCCAACAAGAAAGACTGGAATGAGTTGCCATTTTCTACTCTGGGGGGGTCTTCCCAACCCAGGGATCAAACTTGCATCTCTTGCATTGGCAGATGGATTCTTTACCACTGAGCCACCTTAAACAATGAAAATAATGCTCCATGGAGGATTAAGCGACATTAAAGATGTCAGAATATGAACTTGTAGTTATTTGATGATGAATATAATGAAAACATTATATCTCATTATCAGTGATTTTCCTGAATGAATTAAAAACCGCCAGGAAAGAAGTAAGGCCAGACTGAAGAAAAGGCAGGGAAAGCTCTCAGCGCTAGAAGTGGTCCTTGAGCTCTGAGCATTGTAAACTCGTACAGCTTTACCGACTCTAAAACACAGCCTCTCTATCGTTCTCCCCCTTTCCTTCTGATAGTCTTTAGATTATCAACTACAGTAAGGAAGTCCAGGTTGTAGAATTTTACAGCTGAAATGGACCTGCAAGATCATGATCTTTAAACTTTCACCCAGATCTAGAGTCATATCTACCAAAAGAGAAAATATTCTTCCTAATTAGAGAAATATGGTAATTAAGTGGACAACATAGGGCATTTGGTTTCCTGGTTAAAACAAGTTGTCACTTTTGTTTATTTTCAATTTTACATATTATTTCATGTTTTAAAGTTTCTCCATATATTTCAATAAATGATGTGTCTTGATCCTGTTTCTACCCTCCTTGCAATTCAATATACTGGACTCTACTTTAGCTTATGTGCTCAAGGTCTTTATTTACATCAGTTAAAAGAATTCTGTTACCCTACAAAATTGCAGACACTTCCAATTCAAAGACTAATGTATTAAAATTAATTCAGGTTTCCTACAATAATAAGGCTTTGTCACCTTGCTTGCATGATCAGCAAAGAAGGCAGAATTCACAATTATATTACTCTAAATATTACTTTAATGCTGTATTCACATTCCTGAAGCTCTGACATAATTCAATTCACATTTACTGAGAAGTTATAATATATCTGATTTTGTACCAGACTCTAAGCTTCTATGGGCATCTTTGTATCTTTAGCACATAGAACAATATTCAGATGTACTCAAAATAAGCTTTCAGAATGAGTATAGAATAAATGCATCAGTCCTGCTTTCAGGAGCTTAGAATCTAGTGGGAAAGATGGGTTTTAGCCCAGTGAAACCCATTTCAGACTTCTCACCTACTGGCCTGGAAGATGCCACTTTATTATTATTTGTGTTATTTTAAACCTTAGTTTGTGGTCATTTAAAACAGCTATAGGAGACTGACTCAAGGTCACAGAATTGTTTTCAGCTGTGAAAAGGCTTCGCTTGGGTGGTGTTCTAAGAGAAACGAAGAGCCAGGGTTCCATGGAGGAAAACAGGCGATGTTAACTAAATCCTTGCTACTTATAAAGTATGGTCCCTGTTGAGCAGTGCTGATGGAAACTGGCTCTTTCTTGGAAATGTAAAATGTCAGGCACAGAAGTAAGACCTATTGAACCAGAGTCAGCATTTTAATAAGATCCCCAGGTGACTTATATTCATGAGGAGCACTAGGTTAAATTTACTAAAAACTATTTTAAAACACGTAGAAATCTTTGATTCTTCTTTTTTGACACACAAGTTTGCTGAGAAAAACAATTAAGTTTAACCATAAGAAGAATGCTAGATTGCTTTTGTTACATTGATTAAAAAAAAAAAAAATCTACTGCTTTTAAATAACTAAGAAGGCCCTTCAATAATATCCAGTTACTCCCATGGACAAAGAATTTTCCTTTTCAGAAAATATCCATGAGTTGAAAGATTACAAACATAAAAATTTTATACCTTTAAATAAATATTCAAATCCCTAGAACAATAATCAAAGAGCCATGTTGTGGGGGACAAAATGATTTCATTCACATAATACATTTTCTTTAATTACTTTAATATAAAAGACAGAAATGTTTCATGTTTCACATAACATTAAAAAAAAGTTTTAAAACCCTATAATAAGTATTAAATGAAAATAAATTTATTGAATGGCAGTAATCACTACAAAATTAATACTACCAAATTATTACTGAGACCGTTTGCATTAACAGTAATTGGATGTTATGTGGAGAAAATATCAAACAAAAAGATGGATGTTTTAAAACTACATTTTATCCAGTCTATATCTTTTTGCTAAATCTTGTGCATATTAGAAGATGTATTCAAGATGGTTATAAAGCTATTCAGCTAAAGTAATACTTCAAAGATCTTAAAAGAGCCCTCTATGAATGATATGACATTGCTATCACTCCATCTGTTTACAAAATCAAAAATACAAGTAATAACCCAATGAGTCCTTCTAGGTAAAAGATTCAATTTAAAAAAGAGAACATTAACAGAGAATTAGTGATGGTGAACAGAACAAGAAAATCAACGTAATTAAGAAAGGTCTGTAATTATCCAACATGACTTCGTCTGGTTAAACCAATGCAACTTAATAAATAACTTGGCTGCATTGTGAGTGAAAGGGTTAACAAGATCCAGAGTCGTGTTTTCAAATTCTCATATAATAATCCTACTTCAATCAACCTGTAAAGTAAAAGCACTGAATCCACTTTAACATCATAACATACATCTTACAATGATACAAAAGTCAAACCGTTACTGGGAGATCTCGGTCCTTGTGACAGTAAGGAAAACTTCACAAGAGTGTGCACTTTTGAAAGTATGATCAGTGTATACGGTATAGACAAAACAGGCACCTCCATTATAATTTTTTTAATAAATAAAAGCACATTAACATAAAAAGAAGTTAAGCAGCACCTGAAGCCTTTGACATGTGTAACTAAATGCTGATACCCAAACAGTCTAACTGGTTAAGTTTTACTAAGAGGCGCAAAAAAGGAGCCAATTTGTGACTTAACATTTTAATTCTACAAGAGACAAGAGCTTGTCTGGGCTTACAGTCCTGTCATGTGACAGTGAGTAGCGCACCAGTCTCCACATGTCTTATACTTTGGAAAGCAGACCCGACTCTGGGGCACTCGCCTTAATTAGATTCTGAATTTCCTTGAATTTTGGATGATCTTTATCAGCCACCAGCTGTAGAAGAACAGCCTCACTTGTAGTCACAATGATCCCAGTTCGAGCAAGACGCTTAAGGAAAAAGAAAAGATAAACATAAATCAAGAAATAAGCATGAGAATGAACACTGTATTAAAACAGCAAAAAGCACAGTGAGACATGCTAGTGGCCTCTATCAAAACCATGGTGCTCAGCCATACTATCAAATTCAGTGATGAGGACAGAGTTCAAACCAGACATACCCGAAACCCATGAGGATGATTCTCAATATTATTAATATTAGCCACAATTACTAACATTATAAGAAAAAGCAAGGAGGTAGCCAATATAAAGACTTAGATGTGCCGGAGACAGAAGGGATCAAGGCGAAGGACTGTAAAACAGGGATTCTTAAATTCTTTTACCCTTTGTTAAACTGTATACCTACTTACAGACCACACATAAAACACCAGCAGCAGAAAAGCCTCATGTGAGGTTAAGGAACATCCCCCTGGATGGTAACAGAACCACCACCCTTGCCACTATGGTAAGCTTTTCAGAATCACAAACAAGAGTATAAAATTTAAGGTTGTACAGTTTCACTGACAGGTCAAAGAACATCCTTGCTACATTGTTACAAGGAGGGAACAGAGAGAGTGTGTGCAGGAGGGATGAAGAGGGAAAAGGGAAGGAAGGCAAAGAAAAGAAAGCATAGAAAAGAGTGGGAGGGGGGACAGGAAGAGAATTCTAGAGTGGAGATCCATTTCCTAGATATATTTCTCAGAAACCTTAGGGGAAAAGGAGACCAGCTGTTTGTCATCCCATGAAACACCCACTCTAAGAGCCGTAGAAGAGGAGGTGTTCAGACACACTTCCTAAGCAAGCTAGAAAAAACATGCGAATCAGTGTCGTGCTGTAAGGGGCATCACTTGAATAAACAGGACATCTCAATGGAGCCAAAGTAAAGCCCTCAAATGGCTGTAGACCCACAGGCCCAACCTTCCCACTGGCAGCCTCTTCCTCTTACTCCCCAAGGACCGAGAAGGGAGTATAAGCCATAGCCCACTTATCAGATAGCAAGTTCAGGCCTCAACCACCAGAAAAGAGGAGTGTCAGGAGAAGCTGATCACAAGTCTCGAGAAATGAAAAAACAGCAGAGTCACAGAGGAAAGAGGAAGAAATATTGGGACAAATACCAGACGATGAGTTAATCTCTGAGTTTTTTAAAGACTTCTGGAGACTAATTTCCCATCCATGCTTTTCAGTAAACTCCTGACTGTCAAGTCAAAACCCTTAGAAATCTCAAAGGACTGTGTGGTTGCTTCAGACAGGAGAGTGGGCAATAAATGTAAGACGAGCTGTGTCTCAGGGCCCTGAACGTCCAGTCACCTAAACCCAGCTCTCTCCCTGGCTGGCCTGCCTTCCTTACTGTTCTGTTCAATCAGTGGCCTTTCAATGAGTCAGCCTGAATCTGAATCACACTTTCAATGTCTGTGGAACTGCTTTCTATATTCCAAAGTGCTAAGGAAGGTCAGTTCTCAGTAATCTTCCTAGTTCTTTCATGAGGCAGGAAGATCAGAAAAGTGTTCCCAGGTCTGAGAAAGAAATGCAATGACCCAGCAAAGACATAGCTTCTCACAGTGCCCTGCTGACCAGAACCACGTCCACCCTAAGCCAGCAGCTCTCAGGAAAGCTAAGAGGCCAAGGCAGGGGCAAGCTGGAAACCAAGAGGCACACACACACAAAAACATTTTAGTACACATAAACCTACACAAAATTACCTAACTTCAACAATAAAGCATGGCCAATATTGAGCACATTCAAAAGTAACCAAGCCACAGGACTTCCCCGGAGGTCCAGTGGTTAAGATTATGCCTTCACTGCTGGGGACACAAGTTTCACTGCCTCAAGGTGTGGTCAAAAAAACAAAACCAAAAAAACAAACAAAAACCAAAAATAGTGATCAAGCCAAGAACCTGTGTTAGGGGAAGGCATGGCTCATGCCTTTGCTAAGAATGCTAAGATCAGGCTAACACATCTTCCCATGGTGCCTGCCCAGCACCAACTGGAAACGGTGCCTGAGCAGAAAGAGAACAGGGCACTCAATCCACACACAGGCAGGTTGCCACCCACCACCTTGAGCTGTGAGGGCACCTAAGACACTGGTCCCAAACTCACTTCATCCCCTGGCTTAAAAAAGGGACGATTAAAACTCCAGCTGTTTAATGCAAATGGGTACTTGGCTTAATAGACTTCCAGAGTTCTTCCCTTAGACTTACAAAGTCAGTCCAACTAGGCCAAAGGAAAAGAAAGGTTACTCTGACCCACAAACCTAAAAATACATGACAGCCTCCTAGAGGGCAGAGGAGGAAAAAAGAAAAAAAGACTCAACCCATTAAATTCCCAAGCAACACTTAACAACTTCCCAGAAGTACAAGGACATCAAGTTCAAGAGAAGGTTTTATCCTGTTTTCTCCCACATTTACCCTGCAATTATAAGTTGAAAGAAAAATGCCTGACAGATGGTAGGTGCTCAAAACATTCTGAGGAGTAGAACACACACCACAGATCCCAGCAGAGAAGTTTTAATAATGGTAACGGTAAATCTTAGTTTAACAATCTGAACAGGCAGGGTGGTGAGTCTCAGGACTGATCTCGAGTAGCTGTGTTTCTCAAGGGAAAGAGTAGACGGGGAGCTGACCAGACCGCTGTTTCACTTTCATAGCCACAGAAGAAAAGAGGAAGCTGAACATCAGTCCCAAGGACTGAGGGACTAACTAAAACTTAAGACTGAGCGGAAAAGTCTGAAATGTGGAACATCTTCCCCATCACCTCTCGACCTGCTTCTCTCCTCTCCGACCTCAGCACTGTAACCCCAACCAATGCCGGCTGTCCCATGCAAGCTCAGTCGCTTCAGTCATGTTGCGATCCTATGGACTGTAGGCCACCAGGCTTCTCCGAATATTGGAGTGGATTGCCATGCCCTCCTCGAGGGGATCTTCCCGACCTAGCAATCAAACCTGCACCTCCTATGTCTTCTGCATTGCACGCAGAAATCCACCGCAGCCCATATTTTTTCCTTCCCTCCTCAGAACTTCTCAAGACTAGTCCCTTTTGGGTCTTAGAAGCTGATATATGCTTATATATTTCTGATCGGAAGGAGCACACGAAGAAAAGAATAAGAGCCACAGTAAAAATAAAAGCAACAGCTAACACTTGAGTGTTTATTGTGTTAGACATTAAGTACTACCAATACATTATTTCATTTAATCCTCACAAAAATCCTCCCACATAATGACTATTACTATTTCTATTTCACTGCTGATAAAAAAATTTAATCAGTTGATCTAAAAAAGGAATGGAAAATTTTACTCAAGTCAAGATGATGAGCATAACCTGGGAACAGCCCCTCAGAAAACTCTGAGAACAGTTCTGCCCATCAGAAGTCAAAGCACAGTTACGTAAGTTTTTTGAGACAGAGGGCTATACATGAAATGATAAATTATTGACAGTTTATAGAATCCAGATCCAAGAGCCACTATGGTGGGTCACATGACCCTTGAGACACTCAGGAGTATTATCTTTTAAGGAGCTGTCCACCCTTTACAGTTGAACAGGTATTTCTTTTGATGAGGAGATGTGCTTGATGCATATTGTGTATACACAGTAGGGGGGAAAGAGGAAACCAAAGGGCAAAGAAAACTTCTTCAAGTTTAAATTTTTCTATTTGCCATAAAAATATGAATTTTATTTCATATCACGAATGAGAAATCTAAGGCAAATATATTAGGTGATTTGTCCAAGGACACAAATTTACAAAATGCCAGAACCTGCATTCAAACCCATATTATCCCTCTACTGTTTGGACTCCTGATCAGTAAGATTATAGGTTACCTCTGAAAGAATGAGGCTCAGGTATTAAAAGGCCAACTGTTTCATTCTGAGTTGGTAAACGACAGAACTGCCAGCAGTAACAACTTTCCGTAATAAATGGCACAATAAAGACACGTCTGAAAAATGTAAATGAATTCAGAACAAAAGTTCTTGAAATCTCTTTACAAGAAAGGAAAATTTCTGGTTTTATATGTTCTTAAATTCTTTGCTTCATTGGGAACACTTCAAGTTCTGGATCTCAGCATTACCATAAAGGTTATTCACAGAGGAAAACAACTGCCTGTCAAGGCAGGATGGATCAAATTACTAAGAACATTTGAAAAGTGTTAGTTGATTAACTCTGACTGTAAGGAGAGCTTAAAGATCTCTGCTGAGAGGGAAAGAAGCAATACTTAGTATCAAAGTAACCAGAGAACCTGATAGTCCAAATGGACTTGAAAATAGTTGAATAAAATTAATAAAACCTCCCTATTCAGAAATAAAAGAAGGGATGGCCAACCAGGGCCTTGAAAGCACTGCTGCTGCCAGCGACCATGCCTGCTTCCACATCAGCCCTCCCCACAGACTGGACCCTTGTCTTTCTTTCTTATTCTTATTTGCCAAACTCACCACCCTCGGGAATATTTTAGATTACGAAAAATGACTGAGCAATCTACAGAGAAAGTGGCTCATAGGTCAGCTTATGCATGAAACACTGGAGAGTCTCAAAAAAAAAAGTCTACATTTCCCATTCTCAATTAAAGTAATTAGTTAAAAACTCAGCAATTCCAATCCAGATTGACATTACTTTAAAATTATGATAGAATTAGAATTAAACAAAACAGATAGAGATCCACAATGTGAAGATTTCAAAGGATTAATTGTGGGAGTTTGCTTTTCAATAGTCTCGGAATAGGAATTGCTTACGTAAGGCTACTGTTATGCAACGCTGTCGAAAATCACTGACACTCCACGTAGAGAGCCATCAAACCCTGCGTGTGAGTGGTGCCCACAGTCAGCGACACTCCTGTTTCCAGAAATTCAAGTCTGATGAAGTCTAACACAAAGCTGAACCAGGCTGAGGCCCACTAGGCACGAGGTTTTGGATAGATCTTGATCAGGTTAAGCCTAGATGAGCTGCTTTTAATTTGCAAATCTTTAAATAGTTCAGAGTAAGCTTACTGGAATACCTCGTGGTTCCTGTGCAAAACTGTAGTGAAGTTACGACAGAAGAGGCACAGGAGTGTTTAGCATCCCTAGAAATAAAGACAGCAGATGCAAAACAGGAGATGATGGGGAGACCTAAGAGGCTGGTTGTGCATGGTAGAGACCTTGGAAAACGGTGAGTCTGATTATTGTCAGACCATGCTCAAATTTAAGAGGTAAATTTTCACTGCTGTTACATATTTAATATTCTCCAAATTGATCTGGAAGCCTTGGTAAATGAATTACTTTAAAACAGGACAATTACCTCAAGGGCAAACATCCTGTCCATCATGCTTCTCGATGACGTGGCATCAGCCACAATATGAACCTCGATACCTCGGCCAACGAGCTCCAGAGCGGTCTGCTGGATGCATACGTGAGTCTAGATGGAAAGTAAAAACCCACATGTAACACTGTGGTAAACGACAAGTACTTTACAAACGTGCAGCGATACGGTACAGCCGAAAGAGCACCACAGGTCTAATGACCTTGTCCTACATCGAGTTTTGCCTTTGACTCACCAGTGACCTCGAGCATAAACAGCATCTCTGGCTTTGGTTTCCTCTTTGTAAAGTCAGGAACTGAATAACATCAATAGTCTTTGTACTGGGAACCCTGAACATAATTCTTACAGCTCTGTGAGCATTTTTAAAAAAATATTTTCATCTGTGTTTCATCTGGATGACCTTCATTCAGCTGACTACTACCACCCAGTTTTGATGCCACTCACAGTTGGGTTTATTTCTGTTTTCACACCAAATGCCAGACACAAAGAATGCGTCTGCAGTACTGTCAACTGAGAGAACAGTGGGAAAAGTGAGTTGTTAAAAGGCACCCAGTAGTAACGGTAGGCCAAATTAAAAATAACATGTAGCTTAGGCAAAAAATACTCAGCATACATCACCAGCAAATGCATTATACAGACTCCATCTTTCTAAGCACAGACTTGTATAATTCATTGGCAGGGAATAAAGAGTAAAAACAGGCTCCAACAATAAGTGGATTAGCAATGAAAGCAGATTTTAATAATGCAACAAAGCTGACCTTATCTTCACACGACAAGACAGCCATGGAAAATTATCGACTGATAACTCATTAAAGTTAGCACTGGAGGACTGCTCAAAGATGATTTTGATTACACGAAGAGCTAATAATGATGAACAAATAAGAAAAAGTATAAAAGTCAGCAACGAGATTTGGCATGACAAATAGGCTTCTTTTATTTTGTCAGTATTGAAGTCAAAATACAGAAATACTTAATATACATCTGAAACTGAGGATACATCTTTCTACTATGAAAACCTACTACTATGAAACCTACTATCAAAACATCATGGCTGTCTTAAATTAATATTATTTGGGTTTCATTGTTTTTACGTTTTTCATAATTTTATAATTTCAGTTCAAGAGGTTCTTAAAAGCTACGAATAAATACTTATATTCTGCTTCCACATGTAAAAACAAAATCCAAAAATCATTTTAGTCAGCATTAAGAATCCATGAACATGTTTTTTCCTTAAAAAAAAAAAGTACATGATTCAAATGTGAAGGACAGTGAACTACAGGTTTTCTAGAACAAAGGTTCTAGAACAAAACAAAAGGTTTTCTAGAACAAAAACATGACCAAGATGAACACCTATAGCTCTTATATAAGTAAACATATTATCTTGATGAAAGTGTGTTCTGAGTAGTGGTTCAAAGTAAGGCCCAAAGATCAATCAACCTAGATTCAAATGCAACTCGATCCTTTAACTAACTTTAACTTTTGAGCAAGACACACAGCATCTGTGTTTAAGTTTCCCCATCACTATAATATGAGGAGACCAAAAGTACTTAGATCAGAGGATTGTTCTGAGAGTTTAACAAATTAAAGGATAAAAGAATGTTTGGACCAGTGCCATGACAACAGTCAACATTTAATAAATGGTGGGGGTTATTTTCTATCAGTTGTTGCTGTTTAGTCACTAAGTCATGTCTGACTCTTTTCGGACCCCATGGATTATAGCCCGCAAGTCTCCTCGGTCCATGGGATTATCCAGGCAAGTATACTGGAGTGGGTTGCCATTTCCTTCTCCAGGGGATTCCTGACCTAGGGATCAAACCCATGTCTCCTGCATTGGCAGGCAGGTTCTTTACCACTGAGACAACAGGGAAGCTCTTTTTACCTACACAGTATTCTATATACATAGAGAAGGAAATGGCAACCCACTCCAGTATTTTTGCCTGGAGAATCCCATGGACAAAGGAGCCTGGTGGGCTACAGTCCATGGGGTCGCAAAGAGTCAGACGTGACTGAGCAACTAACACATACACATATTCTATATACAAAATTACATTCTGGAAATAACAAGTTTTCTACAAATGAATTGTGTCCAAAACAGAACAAGTGGTACTTACTTCTACTCCAAACAACACAACACTCCTGACTCCAGGAATCTCTGCTAATGCTGCTTCCACTTCCGGTAATACCATTGAAAATTTGGTCTTTGGAAGTACCAGCTTTACACCTGTTAAATCAATTTCTTGAACAGTGCTTCCAAGACCTTTAGGGTACTGTTCTGTTACAATAACTGGAATTCCTAAAATCCGGGCCCCTTGTAACTGGGGGGAAAATAAAAAGCACAAAGATAAGTACCAATATACATACGTTTGTATATGAATGTATATCACGCTTCAGCAAATTGGAAAAAATAAACAAGCAAGCATACCAATCTCTGTCCCACACTAATAATATCTCCAAAATACTTGATGGCTGGTCTGAACCTTTCTTGCATATCACAGCAGAAAAACACAGTGCTTGAAGGTGTAAGATTTCCCAGGGTAGTAAGCTGAGGAAAAAAGAAAGAATGATTTAGCATTTGTTATACAGTGACATTTATTTTCAGCTGGAGGTCAGTAAAGAGAGAAGAACATTCCTATTGTTTGACCCATTATGTCAATTTTAACAACTATTATTTAGAAGAAATGATATGAATAATAGGAACACAAATTATTCCCGAATATGTCCACTGAATTGCTTTTAATAGTGAAAATTTGAAATAAACCAAGAACTGAAATACAAAAAATGATTTTACAAAACATGTTTAGCCTATTAAAATAGTATATGCATGTTTTCAAAAAATGCACACCTCTAAGAAGAAACGCTTGTAATCTAATGTTAATTTTAAAAAGAGCACAGTTCAATAGTATTTCAAAACTCTAAAAATATGAATAAAAAGTAGAAGTAAATATATGAAAATATTGATAAGTGGTTACATAGTTAGGGATGCTGATAATATTTTTTTTCTTAATACCTTTCTTCTGTTTTTCAAATGATGTTTTAAAACATTTGCTAAATGTTATTTAAAAGTATGTATTACTTTTATAATAAAAATAGTAAAAAGAACAAATTTGATGACAATATTGCTTACAAGTACAAAGAATAAAATTTAAAATAATCTGTAGCAGAGACTGTGAAACAAAAAATGAAGAAAAAAAAAAGAAACAAACCTAGAATTACTACTACATCAAGACTGAAATATTAAATCAGTATTCTCAAGAATACCTTAAGAGTTAAAAAAAATGCAATGAAATGACATCACCACTGTCAAATGGAGAGACATAAACCTGACATCTGAATTCTTAACACATATTTATCACAATCAAGAAAATCAATGAATCAAGATGAACACTGGGTATTAGATTACCAAGCTTCACATTAATTGCTGTAGTTGGTCTACTACAATAACTTGGGCCCAACATGGATCTCCCCAAAAGTGAAAAATCATTGTTAAATACAAGAATTTGATCTGAGTTCTGAAAAAGCCACTGTGCTTTTCCTTCCACCTTCTCAAATTAGAGAAGCTCTGGAAAGGATGCAGTTTGATCCTGAATGAGGCCATGCCACTACTCTTGGTACCCCTGAAGGCTCCCCTCTAATGAACCTAAACCACCAACAGATAATAATTATTTCTACTTTTCTAGGGAAACCTGAGTCCTGACTACAAAGGCGGTGGCTTCACCCCCAGCCTGACCCTAGATTCTGCCTTAGTACCTCGGCACAGGTATCACACTTAAGAAACAATTACTCCAAGAATTAAATGAATCATTAAGAGGAACCTTTGATCCTTAGCAGTATGACTGCTCTAGCAAGCATGTACTTTATTTATCTGCATCCTGGTCTGACGGACTGTGGCACCTTAATCTCCCTCTGGTATTAACTCTACAGATGTGTACTGATTAACCACATGCGGCCCAACACCATGTCCATGTGAAAACGGGAGCACCATCTGCAATTCTAAAACTACGCAGAGGGTTTTCCTACTCTGTCATAAGGAATGTTTAAAATAAATATTCAAGCATTTTTAATTATATATGCTCATCTTTGGCTGCTTCTTTACTTAAATTTTTAATGCAAGTACCATGCTTCCATTTCAGTCATTATCAAAAGCAATGAATCTGATGACTATATAAGTACTTAGGGTACTAGGTTGAAAACCAACCACTATTTATAATCATGTATCTTAAATTCTCAGTAAATATTAAATGTTGGCTCAAAATCCATATATATATATATATACTATTTTAGAAATTTGAACCAGGGGTCCCGAGTGAAAAACGATGTGTTGAAGGAACACTATGAAAAACGGTTTAGCTGCAGTTGCCCTGTTTAAAACAACTGCAATGCAACTGAGCAATCCTGCCATTCTACAACATATGAAAACCAGCAAGCAGGCAAAATAAAACTCTACAAAGTTGCCAGGGTATGCTGGATGGCCATGCACTAATACACTGGCCGCCTACACTTGCTTGGATCTCCAGCTCTCAGATCTTATCTCAGACTGTAAGGATTAACTCTGTATACATTCCTAACCAGTTTGGTTGTCTGGATTATAAATTAACATAAGGTTAGAAACAGCAAATGTGAAAGTTTGCTGAAGACAGGCAATGGGATAGCAGCAAGGAATAACAGCTGAGGAAGAAGAGATTCAAAATACAGTAAATGCAGATCAAATCTCAACCAGTTCTCAGTCTAGACTCCAATGAAGGAGTAACGAGCTGTATGTTAAGTTATAAACTGAGAAAAAAATCATTGTCTTACACCCATTAAGAAAATCAGTTACATAATATTTCAGGACTACCATATAAAATGGTCAAACTATTGAATATTGGGATGTCAAAGGAATAAAACCATACCTACTCAGAAATCCTAGATTATTCAGAGTTGTGGTCTCCCAGAGTTCCTGTTACCTGGAGCTTCCCAACACCTCATTACAGCTGTGAGGTAACTGTTCTGGGCAGGGGACCTCATCAGACATATGTTATATTAGAGGAGGTCAGCAAACGCAGCCCTGAAATCCTTTCCAACAAAGGAATCCATCATCTTTAAACTTTCAGTTAAAGAAAGAAGCCACAGAGACAAGGGATTGAGGGCAGAGATGACTGGTTATAATTTCGTGAAACAAAAATGCCTAGATATTCTCCTCTCCAGGAGTGGCCACCCCTTGAATGTGGCCTGCACTCAGCAATTTGCTTCTTCACAATAGAGAATCGAGTAAGAGGGTGATGACGATACGGCCTCAGCCAGACCATCAAGACTGAGGCAATCAGTGAAGTCATGGTGATGGTATTCAGCCTGGATATGTGATGGGAATGACCTTCATGATCTTCCTCTCAAAATCCCACAACCCTGGTTTAAACACTGCGAAAACAGCAGAGAAACCCAAACTGAGATCATTCTACCAAAATATCTAATCAGTACTCCTCAGAATTGTCAAGCTCACTAAAAACAATGACGCTTTGAGGAATTGTCATAACTCAGAGGCACGCAAGGACATGTGGCAACCAAACATAACTAGTATCTTGGATTGGATCCTGGAGCAGAAAGAGGACATTAGGGAAAAGCTTGTGAAATCTGACTAAAGTGTGGCACTCAGCTAATAGTAATGTACTTATGTTGGCTCTTTAGTTGTGACAAATATGCCACAGTGATGGAAGATGTTGGCAAGAGGGGAAACTATGTCACATATACAGGAACTCTCTGTATTATCTTTGCAACTCTCCTTGTAAATCAACACTAGTCTAAAATTAAAAATTTAGGTAATAAAATAAAGTGGTCTCCCTATGTCATAACAGTAGCGGGAAAAGCCACTACTTTATGCATAATCTCCATATCATACAAGGGAGAAAAAGGAGGAGCTGAGGCTACCAAAAAAAAAAAAGACAACTACTGAAAAACTCTAACTACGTCCAATCAACCCCTATCCACCCCAAGTCCACATGAATTTCAATAACTGTTAAATTACACACTGACTCTATAATCCAGGGACTTCATAATTTGACTCAGAAACTCCTCTTAAACCAAAACCTTGTAGATAACTAAAAGTGCTGCTCATCATCAGACTTGTTGCAACTGCAAGAAAGCAAATTAAAAGTGGACTTGACCAAATGCTCTCATAGGTAAATGTGTAGCAATTAGAGATCAACACATATTCAAGAAGTCTGAAGAAATCACATATAAAAATGTTTATATACACACATCTTCATATATTTATATATCTATCTATATACATCACTATATGCATATACATAAAAATATGTATTTTAATGTATTGAATACGTATTTCAACACAAAAAGTTGATCACAATAATGGCTTCCTCAAGCAACAGTTTAATACAAATTTCAAATATAAAATTTTTGCCCACTTTCTTAAGAACTGTCATAGCTAGAATTTGACCTTAGATTTCATGTTCAAAAGACTCTTCATCCCCAAATTCCATGACTACCATGATCATAACAGTATTCACCCCGCTTCACATCCACACGTGATCTGACCATTTTCTTACAACAGCTGCTACGTCTGCAAGGAACCTGCTCCTCCTTTGCTTGGTCCCCGGCTTCTTGGGACAGGCGCAAACACGATGGCGGGTCTTGTTCAGGGAGATGTGCTGGGCCACATCTGATCTCGCCATAAACGTAACACATGGTGAGTGCTGTGTGTTGAACTGTGTGCTCCGAAACTCAGATGCTGAATTCCTAACCTCCAGTATTGCACCACGGTACTGCCTTATTTGGAAACAGTCACTGAAAACAGAGTCAGTTAAGACGAGGTCATACTGGAGCAGTGTGTGTGTGCGGGCTCAGCTGTGTCCCAACTCTCTGTGACCCCATGGACGGCAGCCCATCAGGCTCCTCTGTCCATGGAATCTCCCAGCCAAGAACACTGGAGTGGGTTGCTATTTCCTCCCCTAGGGGATCTTCCCAACCCAGGTGGATGCCTCATCCAACATGAGAGGCATTCTTATTAAAAAGGGAAATCTGAGCACAGAGAAGCCCATGTGAACATGCAGGCAGAGATCAGTGTGGTATGTCTACAAGTCAAGCAATGCCAAAGGTGGCCAACCTACCACCAAAAGCCAGGAGAGGCATGAAACGGCTTCTCCTTCACAGTCCTCTCAAGGACCCACATCTGACCTAAAGCCTTTAGAGCTGGGAGAAAATAAATTCTGGTTATATAAGCTACTCAGTCTGCAGTCCTCTGCTACCCGAGCAAGCGACTACAGTACGTGAACTGTGTCTCTCTAGAAATGACTGAAGCTTGAACTTATGAATGTGCTGTTTTCAAACTTTTAGTAGTCCATTACAGCAACAATATAGGCATGATGTGCTTGGGAGAGGGGTCCAGAAGGGAATATGAGGTATCTTTATTTTACTGAGAAGTGTTTCCAAGGAAACCTTGGAAAGGTACAGGAAGCCTTTGTTTCAATATTGACTCAAAACACAGGCCTGTGACAGGACTCTCTGAGGCAATACAGGTCAGCCCGTGGGCATCAGAGTCTGAGTTCAAATGTCAACTTCACTAATTTCAGTTGCAAATCATTAACATTTCTAAACAGCAGCTTCTTAATCTGGCTTCGCTGGTGGCTCAGAAAATAAAGAATTTACCTGCAGTGTGGGAGACCCAAGTTCAATCCCTGGGTTGGGAAGATCCCCTGGAGAAGGGCATGGCAACCCACTCCAGTATTCTTGCCTGAAGAATCCCATGGACAGAGGAGCCTGGTGGGCTACAGTCCATGGGGTCACTAAGAGTCAGACACAACTAAACACCTTCACTTCAATCTGTAACAAAGTAATAAAAACAGTTGCTACCTCATAGGGCTATTTCAAAGACTAAATCAGTTTCATGTAAATCCATCAATAAAAGCATTAGGTTACTGTGCATCCCTCCTACAGGAAACATACACTGTGCTGTCAAGTTTAGCACATGCTAAAAACAGTTCTTCAATAATGAGGTTAAAATACCACTTACTACTAATATGATCCCTTAAGAAACCAAGAAATATATAGAGAGAAACATTGATAATGTCTAACCTGTTAGCACAGTCTACAGAATTAAGAAATGGTTCATAAAGTAGATTCCCAAATGTTACCAAAAGACTTACAATTATTTGTACATGATCTGTTTCTGGAAACATAGGTTTGGGGCTTTTTAATTTAGACTGCAAGAGAACATTTATTTCACTCTTATTTTGCAACCTACTCACCTATTGTGAACACTAATGTGACTGGCATTAAGATTACAACTCAAGCTTATAAGTTCAAGTTTGAGCTTTCCAACTGCCCTCAGGAGGCCAGCCAACTCCACCCATTTCAGTGCTGAGGATGGAGGGGTTTCTTTACATTGTACCTGATGTTGGGGTGACGGTGAAGCTGACCAGATCCGAGGAGCACAGTGACATCTGAATCTACACTGAATTCCCCCTGGCAAATTAAACGTAGGAAAAAAATCCCGAACACAGATCATAGCTTCCACTGGCACACAGTTTATTTACAGGTAGCCTCTCATGTATCCACAAAGAGCAAAATGTATACAACGCTTTGGGCAGTAATTTGAAATGTTAAATTTTCTACAAGGTGCGTGGGCGGGCAAGAGACAATCCTAGGATTCAGCTGTTATCTCCAGAGCCCCTGACGCTGTCTGCCTCCTGAGAAAAGTGCTGCCTACTTCTCTAACTCAAGAGTTCTGAGCATTAGCTTATCTACCTGCTCCTCCTACACACTCCATGGTTAAGGTTCTGAAATCAAAAATCACCACCTTCCAACTAGCAAGCCCAAGGGAGACCCAAGTCCTTTCCCTTTTCTTTTCAAACCATGCCTTCTCTTCCTTCCCACCCTGAACTCTGGGGCACCTTCTAGCTATAAAATGTCCATAACTCTAACCTTCATACTAATACACTTCCAAGAAAGTAAAATCTGGAGCACAATCCCTTCCCAATTAAACACCTCAGAGAAGGTCAAAATAACCTTCCCAGGAAAGCCCTTATCTTCTGCCCACACAAAGCTGCCAGAGCTGTCCCTCCTACATACTCACGTAAAATACTCTCACTGGTGTCATTCTTAACCATGTCCGTTTCTTCCTCTCTTCTACTTGGGTTCTGCCTTCCCTGGTGACAAGCTGGAAAAATACACTGGTAGGGTATGATATCAAATTTACATGAGCTTCCAGGGTTGAATTCTCTATTAGTTAAAACTTGGGAAATACCTTGTGAAAAATTAACACTTGTAAGTCATAAAAATGACTTAAATTCCCACTATATAAGCCTCTCATTTATATTTCTTCCCCTTCATCTCAAAATACTTCAGACTTCAAGCATTTTGAAAAAGCTGAAGACACATAAAAAGTGCTTGAAAGACGAGCTGTCTTGAGCTACCTGAGCTGCCAGCAGATACTAGGTCACTGTTACAGAATATTTCAGAAAGGAAGACACTAAAAAGTTAGCATAGCCTAATACTGGCAGTGGGGGTCTTAAAGATGACTCTCCATAGAACCACTAACCAACCACCAGTGCGGGCAGTGTCAACAAGCAACCAGTGTGTTTTTCAGGGTCATGAGCAACAGTCAGGACAAGCCTGAAAGCAAACTCAGACCCTTGTGGAAATTGAGAATACATTCTAGAATATACAGGATATTAGCCAGAGCTGCAGAGACTATAAGGTCTTCTCCGAAATGACAAATGGCATTATTTAAGCCCTGGATTACATGTGGCCAAACACACTCTTCCTCCCTGCTTCTGGTAGAAGGAGCCTGTTGTCCCCTGAGCGTGGCCTCCCTGACCGGCCACCTCGAGTCTTCTTGACAGACAGGCATCTGTTCCACAGAAGCAATAAATAGCATCAAAACACATGATGTTACAAGCCCAAGTTTGTGGCTGTTTCCCGTTCTGCTCGATATATTCATTAAGCATGAAAAGAGAACATGAATGCTGTGGCCAGTTGTAGGACCTTCACATGCTTTATTTACCACGGGACCTTGGGCAATTTCCTACATGTTCTGCTCTTTGGCAAAATGAAGGAGCAGGAATTTAGGTAAGGAGCATGAATTCGGTCTTACCCCTGTTTACATTCATCGTGTCAGGCACTTAGAGCTGCCACTCAAATGCAGACTGAACTCTTAAGTTCTTGTCCAGCCATGAAATGTCCATGTCCTCACGATTATACAGTTGGGTTCCAAAAAATATAGCAAAATGGTCACGAAAAGAAATATCTTCCCTTTTCCTTCTGGGAGTATCCATACATATATACAGACATGTGTGTGAGCATGTATACACATATATATCTCTCTTCATATGGAAGGTATAAACAGGTATCAGAATAAGCATATGGATATAGATGGCATGAGTGTGCAACCCTCCACATCATCTATTTTTAAGCTTCAGGAGGCACCTGGCTGAAGAAGTCAAGCTACTGTGATTATAAAAATGAAATTATATAAACATATTTTTAAATACTTTAAAAGATCTAAAGTATCATGTAACAGATGCTTAAGAATTCTTGGACTATTTGGTGAAAAATAATTACATTTTAAAAAGGATGGGGCAGAGTAGTGCTACTATAATTATTATTTTAAACATCACCACAAAAACTTAAACTATATTTTACCCCCCGATATCAAGCAAAATACTTCGAAAGCCACGTGTCCTGAATTACATAATGCCTTTTGAGAATGTACAAGACATCTCAGGTATAGTCATACATATTATTAACTTCTTTAGTTAAAAAGAGTTGTCAGACCCAGACTTTGAATTTTTCAAAATAAAAAAATCCTATTATTGGGGGAGAGGGAGGCCTTAAAGACAGGAAAGGCATCAGTCTGATGGCATAACATCTCTTAGGTAACAGCGCACCCTCCCTCCCAACCACTACAGGAAACACATCACAAAGAAGTCAGCCTCCTCGGTAAAGCTCCAGATCTCTTCAGCTAGTATTTGGATTCTCGCCTTTATTAATGGATTTGTCAAAGGTGCATCCAACTTCTTCGGTATTTTTGGCAGCATTAATCTAAACAGACTGACAAGGAAGTGTGCAGAAGGTGTCCGCCATGAAAACTCCTGAAAACACAGAAATGGGGAGTAGTAAAACCGATCAACCACAACTCCCAAGAGCAGGGCAAATTCTAGGGTGTCAGACACCAAGTTCCTGCCTCTGTTTTGGCTCATCAAGGGTTGACCATATAATCTCACAGCCTTTGTCCTCTGATTAAAGTACCTGCTTTGGATGTTTCTGGACTGGGTGCTGGAGTGATAGCAAACAAGATCAATTCCTCAGACAACAACTGAAAAAAAAAAAAAAAACTAGAGGACAGTCCTCAGAAATGACACCTGAATATTAAAGTGCCTTCTAAACCTGAACCCCGCATTTCAGTTTGGTTTTCCAAAGAAATGGCTTACCTGTCTCTCAACCAAAAAATTGTTGATGGTGGAGTACCTAAAATACACCTTTTATTCTTGCTTTGCAATAGTGTAAATCCTCGAGTGAATCCCCTGAGCAGAGCACAAAAAGAACGCAGGAGGCAGATCTGTGCAGTATGAGCACACGGCTTTTTAAAAATATTAAAAAGCTATAAAATAATCCTCAAGTATAACAACTCTTTCAGCCAGCACTACCAGGAAAGAACAGTCTGGCTAAAGTTGAGTATTTAAGAAGGCACTGCAGCCTGATTCGAATGACTTTTTCAAGGCAGTCAATGTGTACCTGTAATCACCAGATTCCGCTGACAGCTACTAGGAAGAGGCTAAACACGGTTATTTCACTTAGGGAAGGCTGAAGATCAAAGGAACTGAAAGCTGGGAAGAGGCGGGCTGAAAGGACGGGACTCCAGAAGTTTGTGTTTCCGCAAGTGGTAAACACAACTCCGGGAACAAACCCCAAGGCCGACACGCCGCACAACCTCCTTCCCCCGGTTCTGCATCACCCCAAAGAAAAACACAGCTACTCTGCCCAGCCCTTGGGTTACGCAGGCGGCTGGGACTTGCTCCCGGCACACAAAGCGGATGCGGGAGGCTGAGGACCACACACGTGGGGGCGTTCGCGCGCGCCGCCTCTAGCAGGGAGGCCCACGCCCCATCCTTGGCGGAGGACAGCCGGTGACCGTCCCCTTCGGACAGGCGCCGGGGCTGGGCCATTCGCGAGGCTTGCGACAGCGGCGCGGCCCTTCCCGGTCGGCGAGACGCACGGGGCCGGCCGCCGCGGGGCACCTGAGGAGCCCGGCGGGGACGGGGACGCACGGGGACCCGGAGCGGCGGGGCGCGCGGCCCTCCCGCGGGACCCACCTGGATCTGCAGCGGCACGAGGCGCACCTTGCAGCGCTCGCTGACCGCGAAGCCCTTGGGCAGGTCCACGTACTGGCCCCACTCCTCCGCGAAGAGCTGCACCACGAATTTGCGGTGCATGTCGATCTGGTCGCCGTACAGGCTGAGGAACTTCTGGATGAGGAGCTCGTAGCCCGCGCCGTGCGGCACGGCCGCCGGCCGCGCAAAGACGGAGAAGCAGAAAAGCACGGGGACCGTGCCCGACGGCGCCCCCGCGCCCGCGCCGCCGCCGCCGCCGCCGGGGAGCGCCGCGACCGCCGGCTCCGCCGCCGCCATGTTCCCCGAGCGTCTGCGAGCTCCAAGGCCGCGAGGCGCACACACTGCCGGCCGCCGCGGCCCCGCCTCCCCGCGCCGCCCGCCGCCCGCTCGGGAAGGCGAGGGGGCGGGTCCTGGCGGCCGCGGCTCGCGCGCCCTCCTCCTCGCCCGGGCGGAGGGCGGACCCCGCGGAGCGCCGGGCTGTGGGACCTGGGCGCATTACCAAGCGCCTGCGCCCGCCGCCGGGTCCGCCCCCTCCAACCTCCGGCGGGCCGGGGATCCCGCACACCCTCGACCTTCCTGGGCTGTCCCGGGCTCCAATCCTCAGAGGAGATCGGTGCCCCCGCTTCCAGCCCGCTCCGCCCACCGTCGAGCGGTGTGCTCCGGCGTTTGGGGCTGTGCTTAGGGATTCGGGGCTGTCCGGCGAGATCTGCTGGGGTGCGTTACCTGTCGGCCTTGTCGAAAGGCAGGAAGTCCTTGAAGACGGCGATAGTTATATTAAAACCGGTAGGGCAGCTGACAGATGCCCTAAGAAGAGCGGTGGAAGTCAACGCTTCCTTAGGAGTGCCATCCAAGACCTACAATTTCATGTTGTTTTAACCCCATGAAACACAGTCTCTCCAGTCGTTGATTTGAGATCTTACCCTCTCTATATCTCAACCCAATTTCCGGGAGAACTTGGATTGAGCATTGGCAAATGTCAAGGGGTTTAAGAGTGAAAATCAGGATTTTTTTTTTTTAATTCAAGCTGAGGATTTTGTTTTTAAGCAAGTAAAAACAATTACCTTCTAATAATTTTTTTACTTGTGAACACTTTAAGGCACTATAAATAGCTGGAAATAGAAAAGTATACACTACGAACGAAGTTTCCTTAAAGGCCAGGTCCTCGGAAGATAGGCTTGTGAATCTAAATAAAATAAGATTTTAGATGTCAGGGGTTTCCTCCTCTTAGAAGGAAATAAGGAAGGTGCAGGGTTTCTTAGCTGGCACTGTTGACGTTTGGAATGGACACTACCTTTCCGTGGGGGCTATCTTGGTGTTTGTACAATTTTAGCAGCATCTCTGTCCTCTACCTTCTAGATGCCAGTGTCACCCTGCACTTCCCTCTCACATTGAATTTGATCTTGACAATCAAAAAAGATGTTTCCAGACATTGTCCAATATACCCCAGGAGACAAATTTGCCCCCAGTTCAGAGCCACTGCTTTAAAGTAATGCCAATACCATCCTTTGGCCTTTACTTCTCACTTGTATCCAGGCTACTGAAAATAGTCTGTTTTCTGGCTCCTCATCAAACTTTGAGATTCCATTTAAAACTGTTGTCTAAATCCATCAGACCCCAAGTGATATTTTTGCAGATATCACTTCACTGCAAGGTCTTCTGTGTGCAGATGTGCAAATCTGTGCTAATAGAATGGTAGTTTGTCTAGACTAATTACCAAAAGGTACCTATTCTAGGTATTAGTCTAGGGAGACTAATTGTAAAAGAGGTCCTTCCCCTTATTTATGCCTCCGAGACAGAGCAGGTTAGAGAACTTGATCTGAACCTCAGACCCTCTCAACAAGCACCTCTGCATCTGCACAATGTTTTCTGGTGGTCCTCAGTCAACATACTTACTCCAGTCTCAGATTTTTTAAGTAGGTTTCCAAAGAAACCAATTTCCATATCCATTGTACTACCTGAGATTGACCTTCGGCCATTTTATTTAAAATTGCAGTCTCTGTGGGAATAACACACAAATAGCACTAATAAAGCAGGTATTTGAGGGACACATTCACATTTAAGAGTACCAACTGTGTCATCCCTATGCTAGAAAAGGGCCATCAGTATAGCTTTCATTGATAATTTACTCTTCTCGGGAATTTAATTATTAGAGCATTAAATTTGATAAATGTTGTTGGAAAGAGTCAATGAATAAGAATCCATTAGCAGATATTCTAATGACAAGTAGAAAATAACTATCCTAACTGACAAAATCATCACAGATAAAATGCCCAAAATGATCTCAAATAAGACTCTCAGGAGGTTTACTAGTTGAATTTAAGTACTTACTTTCAGAATTTAAATTCTAAGCAATTCAAGAAGTTAGTTTATACAGTATTGATTAATATGTTAATGTACTACAGAAACAAACGTCAAAATCTCAGTGGATTAATACAACAAAGGCTTATTTCTTACTCCCCCTAATGAGCAGCAATATTTGACAAGTTGGTCTCTCTTTCCATTTGAATCATATTCTTCATTTCCTGGATACCATTCTCTTTTATTTCTCCTTCTACTTCATTTTTAAGCTCTTTTCCCACCTTCTCCTCATTTCCCAGATCTCTAAACATTTCAGTACACAGGGCTTAGTCCTCACACCTCTTCTTTAAGATGTATGGCTTTAAATACCACCCATAGACCTTTGATTCGGAGAAGGCACTGGCACCCCACTCCAGTACTCTTGCCTGGAAAATCCCATGGACGGAGGAGCCTGGTAGGCTGCAGTCCATGGGGTCACTAAGAGTCAGACACAACTGAGCGACTTCACTTTCACTTTGCACTTTCATGCATTGGAGAAGGAAATGGCAACCCACTCCAGTGTTCTTGCCTGGAGAATCCCAGGGACGAGGGAGCCTGGTGGGCTGCCATCTATGGGGTCGCACGGAGTCGGAGACGAGTGATGTGACTTAGCAGCAGCAGCAGCAGCAGACCTTTGATTTTCAGATTTATGTCACACAAGGCCTCATGCCTGAATGCCAGACTCATATATACATGTGCTTATTTGATATCGCCACGTGGATTTCTAATAGATTTCTCACATTTAATTTGGTTTGCACATTCCCAAGATTTCTCCCTCTGTGTTAGCATGTAAGCATATGTCAACCTCATTTTACTAAGCACAATAACCCTGAGCTTATCCTTTATTCCTCTTTCTCTCCCCCTGTAGTCTATCAACAAGATCTGATCATCAAAATCCAAACTTTCTCATCCATACAGTCATACCACCCAAGGCCAAACCACCATCGTCCCTCATCTGACTAAAACACTATCATCTTAAACAGTGCCTATTGTTGATTTTTGTACTCCCAAAGGCCATTTACTACAAGGCTCTCAATTCCTGCAGTGAAAAGACAGAGAACATTGAGGGTCAGGACTAGGACTTAATAAGAGTAACAAAGCTCCAAAGAACATTAAATTCTTAAACAATACATATTTTCTATGCCAAGGTCAGGGACCTGGTTAGGAAATGGAACCATGACACAGGCAATGGGATTGATAAAACTAAAAGTCCTAGTCCTCAGATTCCTTGGGCTTCCGTGGTGGCTCAGATGGCAAAGAATCCACCTGCAGTGTGGGAAACCTGGGTTTGATCCCTGGGTTAGGAAGATCCCCTGGAGAAGGGCGTGACCACCCAGTCCAGGATTCTTGCCTGCAGAACTCCATGGATGGAGGAGCCTGGCAGGCTACAGTTCATGGGGTTGCAAAGAGTCGGACGCAATTGAGCGATTAACACTAGTGATTAACTTCAGATTCCTTAATGACCAGCATTCCCTCATGTTTTGAAGACAAGGCTTTTCCTTAGCAAGACATAAATTTTCTCAGGATTTTCCCTCCACCTTCCTTCCTGGTACCTAGGCCCATACATAGGCTTAAGCAATAGCGAAACCAGGCCGCAGTTGTACTGGGCCTGTTAAAGAAGGAAAGGGATGATATCTCACAGGAATTACAGAATCTCACAAGCATGTACCAGCTGAGACCATGCATGGCCCTGCAATATGAGGGTGCACAGTCAAGGAGGCGAAGTAAAAGTTTATCAATCAAGAAACTACCAGCATACAGGATTTAACACCATTGTAAAGCTTTTGGGAGATAGACCAGCTGCTTCTAGGGCAGCTTCTATATGGACCATACATTTACATTTCTCAAACCAAAGCTATGGCAGCTGTCTTTCCCTCCAAAGAGGTATAAAGTGACTGGACATCCTTCAGAACATCACACTTGTCCACTATATTGATAACATCATGCTAATCGGAGAAGAAAAGGAAAAAGTAATTATTCATGGCAGGCCTTGGTAAGACAAAAGAGCTCCAGAAGGGAGAGAGGATCTCAGAAGTTTCAAGGACCCACCACATTAGTAAAATTTTAGGGTTCAGTATCTAGGACTTTCCAAGACACCTGGTGAAAACAAATAATTACTTCTTGCACTTGCACTTCTCATCATGAAGAAGGAAGTAAACAGCCTAGCAGACCTCTTTAGATCATGAAAGTGAAAGTGACAGTCACTCAGTCTTGTCTGACTCTTTGCAACCCCATGGACTGTAGTCCACCCAGCTCTTCTTTCCATGGAATTCTCCAGGGTTGCCATTCCCTTCTTCAGGGCACCTTCCTGATCTAGGGATTGAACCTGGGTCTCATGCATTGCAGGAGGATCCTTTACCATCTGAGCCACTAGGGATCCCCTTCAGATCATAGAGACAGCGTCTTCTACAACTGAGCATAAGCCAAGACTCATTCTCTGTGCCATGAAATACTGCCAGCTTTGAGTGTGGCCAGAGCAATGAAAATGACTTTGCAGTAGATCCCAGCAGTGGTGCATGCACCTCTGCCTCTCAGACCATACAATCTGACAGATCCTATGGTATGGAAATGCTAATGGTACAAAAGGATGCTGTTAGATTTATGGCAAATTCTCATGCAAGAATCACAATGCAGACCATCAGTCATCAGTTTTGGAATGAAGTCATGGCACCTGCAGCAGAAATTTATACTCTGCTAAGACATAAAGTGACCACACAGGTGGAAGAGCCCATCCTGAGCTGATTTCTGTCAGATCCACCAAAGGCTATGGTTAAGAAATGCAAGAGGAAATAGAAAGTTGGCATGATGCATGTGGGATCAAGAATAAGCAAGGCTGGACAGAACAGTGAACTATAAGAACAGTAGTCTAGATACCTGCACCAACCACCACTGTCTCACCAGTGCCTGTCCCTCAGGTCCCACTGGAAATCCATTATCACTAGCTGCTGGGAGACAAAAAG